AAGTCATATGAACGCTATATTTTGAATCAAATTATTAAAGATTCTTATAATGAATTGTCAACTCATTTCTAACAAAAATGATCCGTCACATTTCTAAACAAAGAGTTGAAAGATTGGTCAAAAACGAAATCTTCCAAACCTTGATTTTAATGATTACGGAATATTTACAGGTCGTACGAACGAAAAATTAACAACGCTCAAATTCCCAAAACCGCTCAAATATAATTATATAAATGTTGAACTTGATTCACAATTTTAAGTACGGATTAAGATAGATTACCGGTACACGTTACATTTTACTCCCCACCATAAGCAAAAATACGAACACGTGATTTTATATATATGACAAAAATATAAATTAAAAAAAATAAAATCTTGATTGAATTACTTCCCCGTTGTTGTCGGATTACTAGAAGAAAAAAAAACAAAAAAATAAATTTAAAAAATGGATTTTATTAATTGGATAAAAGAAAAATAAAAAAAGAGAGGAAAAATCCAATTGGAAGCACCGACAAGAGTCCTGTTTTGATGGGAAATTATTAGAAATTAAAATAGAAAATAAATTAACAAAAATTTAAATGACCGTTAGAGGGCGAGTTTCCAACGTTTAACGTACTCGCAGCGCGTAGGTTGGAGAAAACACGACGTGGACAGGACGGCATTAGACTTTTTTTTTTTTTTTCCTCCTTATATTTTACTTTTCGATAAAATATGTTTTTTTTCTCAATTTTCTAAAAGGTTAACTATTTTACTAAAAAAATTAGACTTTTTTTTAATTTATAAATAATTTATGCATTTTATAATAAAATTAGCCCCAATTTTGAAACATTTGATTTGGTTAATGGAATAATATAAATTTAATTTAAAAAAAAAAAATTATTAAAATTTTACATATAATATATTAATTCGAGCATAATTTAATGAAAATTAAATTTTAAAATAAATAACTAAAAAATTTAAAATTTAAATACTTTTAAAAATTACTTTATATGGTAAGAATTATAATTAAAATTTAAAATTTGAACTGAAATACCATTTTTGAATATTGGTGACAAAAATAATAATACTTAATAAATGGATATCTCAGTTATTTAAAAACTAAATTAAATTAAACAAAAGTGAAATTAATTTAATAATAATATCCGATTTGTCGTTTCATCGAATTTTTCATTTCCATTCCACTCGCCAGCGCGTGGTCCTTCAACATTCTTCACGCTCTGCAAATCCCCTCTCAATCTCTCTGTTGGGTTTTGCAGGAGCTTTATTCTCTTGATTATCGCGATCACACGACGGCGATGTGCTCTGTTCGATCCTCTTTTCCACTCTCCTTTCGCCGCTTTTAAGGACTGTTCTGTATCTGTTCCTTCTGCTCTGTTTCTATTTTTCCTCTTTGATTTTCGTTTTTCTTGTTTGTTTGGCTCTGTTTTCATTGTGGACCGGCTGTTTCTGATTCTGAATCTGTGTTTGTGAATGGCCTTTGCATGAGGAGGATGAACGAGCCAGGGGAATGAGCGAGTGATGGCTGATTTTGGGGTTTTAGTACTGTCACTTCGTCGTTTTCTATCGCCCTAAGCTTGAAACCCTTCCTGGGAGTTTCTTTTTGTTTTGTTCTCTTGTTGCAGGTCCCATTTCTCCATTATTGTACAAATTTCCATTTCTCTTTAGACTGTATTTTTTTTTTGGCTTTCGTGATTATCTTGCATTTGCTGGCTGTTTGGTGTTCTTTCTGAGTTATTGAGTATCTTTAGCCAATTTCTGTGCGGACTTCCTGTTTTTCACTCCCTTTTTGATTCTATACTCTTCTGGAGAGCTATAGAGAAAAAATTCAAGAGAGTTTGAATGTTCTGAGTATGAACAATGCTTGAAGCGTTTGGGAAGAACAGGGCAAGGGGGTTTTTGGGGGTTGATGAGGGGATTTTAGTAGAAAGTTAAGAGTTCTGATTCTTGTTGGAGATTAATGGAAAATACAGGAGGAACATCGTCTTGTTTATCTATTTCTGAGAAGAAGACTCATAAGCCTGGTGGTTGTGTTGGCATTTTCTTCCAGCTCTTTGATTGGAACCGGAGGTTGGCTAAGAACAAGCTATTCTCCCGGAAATTGCTTCCTCCAGGTTACTTTCTTTCTTCTATCTGCTGGGCTTAGCTTAGATTTTGCCTTATTTGCATATTAGTTTGAAGTTTAAATCTGGTTCCGTCGTGTTTTTCTAGCTCGTTCTAAACAAGTAGCTAGCAAGTTCAATGGTGGTGATACGATGTCGGCTTCAAAGAATCATTTGGTAATTACTTTGTGAGATTGTTGTTTTCTTAAGCTTGTTATGTTCTTTGCTCCTTGATTTGGATGTTGTTTGTGCCATCTTTGAGGAATAGATTGCTGATGAAAATCGAGGCGGTTTTCCAAATGTTAAGAAGAATGGAAGTCATTGTACTGATTTAAGGCACAAGAATGAAACGCGAGTTCCGGGACTTGTTGCTAGACTCATGGGGCTTGAGGCCATGCCTGTTACAAGTCGAGATAGACCGAAGAAAACTGGTTGTTCTAATCCTTGTGATAATGTGGAAAAGAAAACAGTGGAGGATACAAATTTGGATAAAGCCAGGCCTCTAAAGCTTCAAAAGACGAGGAATGCGGAGGAGGGGAAGGTGATGAGACGAATAGGAGCTGAGGCACTGCAGTATAAGAGTGTCGTGTCACGATCAAGAAAGCCTCCACCTACTCCGAAACTTCCTTCATCGACAAAAAGTCCTAGGCTTCCCTCAGGGAAGAATGTGTCTAGAGCGTCCCGGTTGATCGATGTTGCTAGCAAAATATTGGAGCCTGGTCTGCAGATGTCAAACAGAGCGAAATCTGCTATCACGCTTCCAAACTCTATGCATTGTTCCTCGAATGAGGATATATCGAGGGAAATTGGCGTTCTGCCATTGGAAGGTTATGATTTTTCGAAGTCCTTCGTGGGACAGGCATCGTGTAAAACGTGCAACGATTTGCAGAATGTGGAAGAATATCCCTCTGCAATTCCACCCCTGAGTTCAACTCATGGCAATGCCTCTTTTCAGGGATCTGGAAGGAGTGAAACAATAACGCCCGACTTGCCACTCGAGCAAGATAGAGCTGAATTTCGCCCAACCATTTGTGATCGACCTAAAACTTTTGCTTCCATACATAATGAATCTAAGGGCTGCATGATATCTCATGGTGATTCTATTGCAGACAAAGTGCCTCGCAAGGTTACGACAAATGAATCATCCCTTGTCAAGCATCGCAGTCAATCTCGAGATCATATGATATCAGTCAGAGATAGGATGTCATCCACGTCGAGGTCAAGTATTCCACCAAGCAGAAGAACGACATCGCCTGCTAATCCTGTGACTGGGACCAAAAATTTCGTTGCTTTAAATCGAAGTCTTAATGGCCGCGGTCGAGGGAATTCTAAGTATGGCCTAGAAAGGAAGTCTTTTAATGGAGGTGAAGATTTCTCATCACAGTCAGGTACCTCACCAAGGAAAAGGAGGACTGCTCACTTAAGTGCACAAATCGAAAGCAAACTGTCTGTCGATTCATCGGCTGCGAAACAACGACCCCCATTGTGTGATAACTTGTCTAGAACAAGTTCGAGGCTCGAACGCAAAGCTCTCCCCAAAAAGCAGCTTTGTGCCAGTAATAGGCTAGCTGGTCATAGAAATGCTGCTGACAGAGTTTGCGAAAGGGATAATGACACTGTTTCGTTCATCTTTGATTCTCCCGTTAGGCAGAAAACCACGGTTGCAATGGAGATCGAGAGCATGGCGAATGAGAGAAATACGTCATCCCGAAAGCCATCCTTGTTTGGAGGAGATGCCTTAGATATCCTGGAACAAAAGTTAAAGGAATTAACTTCTCAAGGAGACGATGAGTCGGCATCGGATTCTCCATTGCAGAAGCCCGCTTCTGTAATCATTCAAGAACTGATAGCTGCAGTAGCAGCTGCACGGAAAGATTCGTCGGAGGTTTCTGCAGCCGATGTGGATGTAACTTACTGTGTAAGAATCCTTTCCGTCCCTTCAGTCGACATTTCTTACTGTGATTTCTTCCTATATATATGTCATATGTTGCTTGTCATGTTTTAGAATGATTCAAAGGAAGAACGGCTCACAAAAACATCGAAAGGACGAGATCAACTTAGCCCGGGATCCGTTCTTGAAGCTTCATTCTCGTCCAGTAGCATGGATGAGAGCTCAGGTTGGAAGATTAATTCATCTAACAATACAAAATGCACACAAAATGCTCAATCTCCTCTGCTCTTTTCATCACAGGATGCATAATGCCAGCCGAGTCTGTTGATTGTTCCATCGATTGGTCGCATCGGTCTGAACTCGATTCCGATATTTTAGATTCCGCAACCTCCTTTAGCGAATGGAACGTCTGGAGTGAAAGATTGACCGACATCTTCAATGCCATTTCCAGCATACTGCAAATCTACAACCTTACCGGTTTGAAGCTTGCTCGTGCGAAAGAGGTTATGCTCAACACCGAAATTTTATTCGGCAGGGACGAAAACAACCTTCTCATTTTGCCACTTTTCATCGACGAACTCGAAACATTCACGTGCGAAATGTGGACAAACTTTAGTGACGTCGACAGCAAGGAGGTAAACCATCTAAGAGTGTTTCTTTTCGACTGTCTGATAGAATGCTTAGACTCGAAACATAGCGAGCTATACTATGGTGGATCCAATGGTTGGATAAGAACATCCCGAGCGCAAAACGCAAGAGAATTAATCCGAGACGTCGAGAAGGAGATCAAAAAATGGGTACGTTTTGTTGGGATGATGACTGATGAGATAATTGAATGGGAAATGAATCATTCCTTGGGGAAATGGAGTGATTTTAGCATTGAAGAACTGGAGAATGGGGCTGAAATTGATGGGTACATTCTTCAAGTATTGCTTGAAGAAATTGTAACAGAGCTTTGGATCTGAGTTTGAATGTCAAGTATTTATAGGCTTTTGTGTGCAATTTTTTGCTCAAAACTCTCTGTTCTTGAAATGATTTTGTTTCAAATCTGTTTTAACTCCCAATACAGTTTTCCCTCTCCTTCCTCTGTTTTCGCCATTAATGGAGTTCGCCGCCGCCGTTGTAAGCCCCTTCACCTCCTCAAATCCGGCGTAGCTCTTCCTCACGTCGGTCAATCTGCCGACCCTTTTTTCCCCTGCACTAGCCGACTTACTCCCTTTCGAATTCGCCGACAATCCGGCAATGTTTTTCCCCGGCGTCTTCCCTGGTGGTGTCATCTCCATCACCGGCGACAATCCCGGCGGTGGCTTTCTGTTCTCCTTCCTCAGTACTGCAGAGAAATCCGGCACCGATTGCGCCACCGCCGCTGACCTTTTCTTTACGGTCTCCAAACCCATAAATTTAACTTGCTTCTTCGTCGGCGGCGTGGGCTTTTCTGGCTGTTCGTTGTCGCGGTACAGTGCGTTTCTCAGCCGGAGCTTGGATTCTCTGAGCTCTGCGTAGGCTCTGTACCTCGGGCCTCTTTCCATGGAAAAAATCTCCGCCGTGAGACGGAGAGAAATTGGGTAATCGGCGGTGGAGTTCTGGTGGAATTTATCCGCCATTGTTGAAGGATGAGGAAGCTTTGTTTTACTTTGAACGGGAAGAAGAGATAATTAAAAAAAGCTTTTCCAACGGTCTGAAATTTGGGTTTTGTATATCTGGGGGGGGG